TGGCTCCAGCCGGGCCACCCACCCAGGCAGCGCCCAGCCTGACCCCGGCCGGGTCAGGGGAAGGGGAAGCCCGACAGCTCGGGGCACGCACGCTCCATCCCTGGGGCTCCCCTTGGCTTGTAAACAAACCCACTGCCAACAGGGTTGGAAGGAAAAGCTCAGCCTGCTCGGAAGCCTTCAGCGTGTGCCATGGTGCTCTCAGGGTCCCCAGGCCCACGAGGCAACAGCTGTCCCTTCTGTGTGCTCCTAAGCAGTAGCATGAGCCCACCGGCGCCGAACACGTGCTTGGGCACTTGCAAACATCTTGGGGAATGTCAGCAGCAAAAATACAGCCTGACTGAAAATCTCTTCTCCTGTGTCCAGTGGCACTCAAAGCTGTTGCTTGCATGTCTCTTCCAGGACAGCACCTCATCACTGCCATCGCAGAACAGATGTTTGGATTCAAGACAACTTCATGGTGAGCAGGGAAAAGGCTCCTTTTGACGTGTTTGGTGTGTGCCACCATGGCTGGAAAGCTGCCCGGCAGAAAAGGACCTGGGGGTGTTGGTCAACAGCCAGCTGAATATGAGCCAGCAGTATGCCCAGGTGGCCAAGAAGGCCAACAGCATCCTGGCTTGTATCAGGAATGGTGTGGCCAGCAGGAGCAGGGAAGTGACCGTGCCCCTGTCCTGGGCACTGGGGAGGCCGCCCCTCGAATGCTGGAGTCAGTTTTGGGCCCCTCACTACAGGAAAGACGTTGCGTTGCTGGAGCATGTCCAGAGAAGGGCAACAAAGCTGGGAGGGGGTCTGGAGCCCAAGGGTGACGGGGAGCAGCTGGGGGAGCTGGGGGTGTTCAGCCTGGAGAAGAGGATGCTGAGGGGAGACCTTATCACTCCCTACAACTGCCTGACAAGAGAGGGGAGCCAGGGGAGTTGGGCTCTGCTCTCAGGGAACAGGCGATGGGACAAGGGGAAATGGCCTCAAGTTGTGTCAGAGGAGGTTTAGATTGGATATTAGGGAAAATTTCTTTACTGAAAGAGTGGTCAAACATTGGAACGGGCTGCCCAGAGAGGTGGTGGAGTCACTATCCCTGGAGGTGTTCAAAAAATGTGTAGATGTGGCACTTCAGGGCATGGTTTAGTAGGCATGGTAGTGTTAGGTTGACAGTTGGACTCAATGATCTTGGAAGGTCTTTTCCAACCCTAATGATTCTGTGATTCTATAAATCAAAAGCAGTTTGCCCTTGGACATTTCACTCGAGCTCAGAGGGCCTGGGAGAGGTGACTGAACTGGAGAGAAGCTGTGCAAAATATTTGCTCTGTCTTGTCCTCCAAGTGTTCGGGATGCATCTGGTCCTCTGTAAATAACAGGGAGAGGAGGGAACTATGTTTTGTTTCAGTCTCCAGCAGTGGGATGGCACTTGGTGCTGCACAGAGGGACCTTCCAGCTGGTCTTAGCTGCAGCAGCAGATGTTCTTCATCGGTGCAGGGAGCTGGGCCGTCAGCGAAGCGTCATTGAGTTGGACACCCCCTCCGTGACAGCAGAGCAAATAGAGGCCCTGGAGAGGAGCGTGAATGAGAAAATCCGGGAGAGGGTACCCGTGATGGTGAGGGAACTGGCTGAAGACGACCCCGAAATTGAAACAGTGAGTGGTGGGGAGAGAACTGATGATATCTGGGGATGATAACTGATGATGTGGGACCAAAATAACTGTGACATGGATGTCACCTTGCTTGCTGTTGTCCTCCTTTTGTCAGGTGAGAAGCCGTGGTTTGCCAGATGACCACGCGGGGCCAGTGCGAGTTGTTGACATCGAAGGCATAGACTCCAACATGTGCTGTGGGACTCACGTCTCCAACCTGAGTGACTTGCAGGTGGGGAGCTGCAGCTGAGCTGCTTTTGGAAGCCTTGCTCCACACATTCTGACCTACACAGCAGAATTCCCTCAGACCCAGGGTCTGCTGGAAATTGTCCCAGTGGTAAAGGGGGCAGCGGAAACCCCATGCTGGGAGACCCCCAACAGGGCTGCACATGGGTGGGCAGTCTTTGTCCAGTCGGTCAGGCTCTTTTCTTTCCTTGTAACAGAACTCAGCCCTTGGCTGTAGGAATAATATTTTTGGAACTGCCGATGCCTCTGCGGAGGGCCTGTGGTACATTGCCAGTTTGGTGGTGCATTGCTGGGTTGCTAGCCCTTTGTTCCCTCTTGTTGTGGTTGCTTAAAGGTCTGATATTTTTGAGTGTTTGTCATGACTGAGAAATCCTCTCTGCAAGGAGGTGGAGATAAAATTCTAGAGCTGCCTTTAAGTATTTCTGTCTTTTCAGTTATTTGTTGGAGCCTGTATCCCAGCAGAGACATCCAGAGGCACTGCAGAGTGCAGCCCATGACTAGGAAATTGTATTAATTCCACTGTATCACCATCCTTATTATTTTTTTTTTTTTTTTTATGTTGACCTTATGGCTGATTTTAATCAGTTTATTTTTACTGGCAGAGAGCCAATATTCACAAAAAGGCATAGTCCAGTAGGAACTGACCACCTGTGTGAGTATAAGCAAAGTACTATTCTTTTCTGACCAGGGTGATTTTCTTTTCAAGGTTATTAAACTCCTTGGCACAGAAAAAGGGAAAAAGAACAAAACCAACTTGGTTTTCCTGGCAGGAAACAGAGTGCTGAAGTCAATCGAACAAAGTCACAATACTGAGAAGGCTCTAACCTCACTGCTCAAGTAATACCCTTTCCACTTTGATTATTTTGTCTTTACTATTCCTTCTGGCAAATACCCCATAAGCCCCGGGGTACACCTACACGGTGCTTTTTATGACATTACCTGCTTTTGCCCCTTTAAGGAATCCTTTCTTTGTCCTTCAGAGTGGCAATCCAAATTCTCCTTGTTCTTTCAGAAATGGACCAGGTGAGCACGTAGAGGCTGTGAAGAGGCTGCAGAGTTCTGTGAAACTGCTTCAGAAGGTATGAGGATGGCAGAGAAAAGCAGATTGTAGCTGCTTCCCATAGACCTGAGCTTTAGTCCTAACAACTGGGAGTTGAGTCAAGGACATTACTTTTTGTGGATATTACGAAAAGTGCTCCCATCTCTGGGAACAAAACTCAGTGTTCACGCTGGCTTCTCTATCTGCAGTAAAGTTTATTTGCTTTTCTTTCAGAATAACCTGAACCTGCTCAGAGATGTTGCTGTTTTGATAGCACGGGATTTCAAGAGCAAACCTGTTCAAAGTCAGCTGTTTGTGTTACACAGGTAGGGGGGAGTTCAGGGAAGCGGGTAAAATGGCATCTTACACATTTTATGGCAGTTGCATCTCTCTGACACCTCCTCAGGCGTGTTTCTCAAGGAAGAATATAAACAAGATTTATAGAATATTAAACTGCTTCAGCCTGCTGGAAGGTTGTGTAATTCAAGGAATGTGTTAGTGATTCAGTCACTGAATTCTTCTGGGTTTATAGCTAAGAAATAACTGTGTCTATTTGGTTTCTCTCTGCCCTTGATATTTTCAAAGAAAACTGAGGAGGTCTATTTCTTAAAGATAAACACTTAAATAATTCCTAATATGTCCACAGGAATGCACAGTGAGGATTTAGATACACAGAATAAAACCAATCTCCATCCTAACAGCAAGAGGCCGAAACCCCAGGCCTGATCAGGCCTTTGGTTTCTGATATTTTGGACTCTAGAGGGGATTTTTGCTTCTTTCTGAAGTGGTTTTTTTTTTTACTCATCCATACAGGAAAGAGGGTGACTCCGAATTTATGAATATCATCGCTAATGAGATTGGGACAGAGGTGAGTCACTGATGAAGACTAACCTGACACCACTGGCTTTCGCATCCAAGCTGTAGCGCGGGGAGGGCCGGGCTTCTGTTTGTACCACAGCTCTGTTTCCTTTCAAAAGTTACATGGGGTGTTGTTCCCAGCAGCCCCAGTCTGCAAGGGAGCCCTCAACAGTCAAGAAATAGAACGGTGAAAATTCAGAACACTGTAGAAGAGCCTGTCCCCCAAAGAGCTGTACAGAGCCTCATCGGCTGTTAGGAGAGGACAGGACAGGACAGGACATGCTTAGGGACAGGGTTTAGTGGTGGGATGGTAGTGTTAGGGTAATGGTTGGGCTTGATGATCTTAAAGGTCTTTCCAATCTAAACGATTCTATGAGAGGAGAGGAGAAGAGAATATTTCAGTTGGAAGGGACTTCAAACCATCATCTAGTCCAACTGCCAACCATATCCTTTTAAGAGGATACCCCAGTACCCGTTCTGCCCCCCACAACATATGATTGAGCATAAAAGGTTCAAAAGACACCCCCCCTCCCTTTTACTTTCATCAACTTGAGCCTCTGTCTCAGTAACACACACAAACGTCTGAATTGTTTGCATGCTTGGATGGGTCCTTTGGCCAGTGTCTCCATCCTCCTCTGGGACAAGGAGGGGACTGGTTATTCTGGAGCAAGACTCATCTCTCTGCCCACAGGAAACCCTGCTGTTCCTGACTGTGGGAGATGAAAAAGAAGCAGGACTCTTTCTTCTAGCTGGACCTGTTGAAGCAGTTGAGAATTTAGGTCCCAGGTAACATGTTCTATGGTTTCTTTAAAATTAGTAAGAGTTCTGATGTTGCAGACTAAGCAGCTGAGCAGTATAATTAGGGCATGGATCCTTGTTTGCTCTCTGGAGCAGGCCAGGCCAAGCCACTCTCTTCTCTGCGAGTGAGCGGCCTTCAGCCTCTGCTCTTTCTGCTGCAGGGTGGCAGAGCTGCTGGGAGGCAAAGGAGCTGGGAAGCGAGGCCGCTTTCAGGGCAAGGCAACCAAGATGAGTCGACGAGGAGAAGCGCAAGCTCTGCTCCAGGAATTCATCAGCCATCGAAGCCCTGAAGCATAAGAAACAATTTCCAAAGTAGGGCTGTCTTCCCTGCTTTGTATAAGCTCCCCCAACTTCTCTCCCAGAGAATAAAGACATAAAAGCAACAGCTGGTGTGCATATGCTCTGTGTGAGCTGACTTGGTGTGCGTGGAAAATTGGGGGAGGGGATCTGCCGTCCAGGCTTGGCTGCAGGGGTTCTTTCATTTCCCCAGACAAATGGCACGCATGCTTAAGTGACTCAAAGTAGTCGTTATTTAACTATTCTGTAGGCTTCCTAAAACCAGGAGAGGGGCCCTTCTCTTTGCAGTACATTGTGGCTTTTTACTTTGTACCAGTTGCTGAGGAGTAATTGCTTTGTGACCGTATTTATTTATCATAAACTGGATGCATTTAAAAAAAATCACAGTACTGGTAAGAAGCAGAGGGTTTGAGTATGATGTTTGCCAACAAGTGCAGAGAAAATGAATCAAGCTTTTGCTGCTGAAATTTTGTAGGGAGAAGAAGGAATGAAATGTGGCAGGAATTGGAGGGATGCTCAGATCAGTAAATCCCCCTTAAGAGACCAAACTCAGCTGGTCACCAGTTGCGGCTGCCTGCGATGGAACTGGGAGGCAAGAAGACAAGATGCTGTTGTCAAGCCTGTGAGCATGGAAGGGAAGGGTCACTGAAGGACAAGTCTCCATCAGCCCTTTTTTTTAAAGAAAAAAGGAACTGACTTTTTTTTTTCTTGGCTACTCAGAAATCTGCAGCTGCTGGAGGTCTGAAGATGTTTGTGCTAATGCCATTGCTGGCCTCTGGACTCCAGGGCAGTCTTGGGCAGCAGTCGCTGTTGACCCAGCTGTGACGCTGATGGAAGCGGCTGTCAGGTAACACCCGCTTCATCCCTGCCGTCCCAAAGCTCCACTGCGGCAGCATCCAGTACGTTCTTGCAAAAGGGGATTTCATCCATTTGCAGTTGGCCTGGCAGAACCATGTTAACCCACACGTGCTGACATGAGAATTAAATGCGGACAGAAGCAGCAACCTCGTGCTTTGTTTTGCAGGCAGACAGAAAATGGTATTAAAGTAATTTATGAGCTGTACATCGGGCATTTTGCTTAGGTGTGAGCCTGAACATTTCCTTCACTTCTGTTGCCATGAGCTTGAGCTTTCGTTACCCTTCTCTTCTCCCCAGCAGTGGCCTTTCCCCTGCCTCTGCAATAGTATCTTATGTTCAGCTCTTTTATGTGATAAGAAATAGCTCTACAGAAAAGCAGAAGTCTGGCCTGAGCATTACTTGGAACAAGCCCGGCTCGGCTGTACCGTTACGACTGTCAGTGACAGGTTGGGTCCTGGTGTACAGCTGACTCACACCACTTTCTACGCTAGTCTGCAAAACATGATGTTGTCTGAGCTCGTGCCTACTGCTCCTGAGCATTTCTGAGTGAGTACGGTCACTAACGCTCAGCAAAAGGAAGCTCTCCCCCACCCAAGACCTCAGCCTGGATGGTGGCAAGCTTTCCTCAGCCTTGGTCGAGCAGAGCGCAGGGTACAGTCCCCAATCAGCCGGGGCGGAGAGCAGCTGGAAGAGAGAGTGAGTGCCTCGCGGGCTGGAAATCACTCACCTTCGTGTCAGTCCTTCCCCTTGTTGGGGTGCAGTTGTTACCGGTCCATTTTTGAACATCAGGAGTTTCTCTGGCTAATGCAGATGGAAACTCCCTAGGGATCAGGCAGAGCTACTCCCCAGCACTTCCTCAGCTTCCCTTTTCTGCCAGGGTGGCTCCTGGAGCTGTTGCAATCTCAGCTGCAGAAACTAAAGGGCGCTGTGGAGCCACAGTGTGAAAAAGCACGCCAGGTAATTCAGGAAAGTTTTTTTCCCCTTGCTAGAAATGGCGTGACAGGTTTGGTCCAGATGTTGGTAATAAACAGGGAAATAGAAAAAAAAAAACCCTCTATCCTAAAGAGGTTTATCTGTCATGAACACAGAGGACAGCAGCAGCCCCAGCACACAGGGTTTCTGCACATGGCTAGCGTGGATGCCATTCAGCTGAGAGACCTTTGCCTGCTGGTGAGCTGCTGGTTGGCTGCTGGTGAGCTCCTGGTGAGCTCCTGGTGAGCTGCTGGTGCAGGGTCACGGCTGTGCCACCCATCAGCGCCTGTTGGGACTCTGCTGCAGGGGTGACCCGCAGCCCGTGTTCCCACTGCACACAGCGGGCTCCCGGAGAGGGGCCTTCTGTGGCCGCCTCCATGCTCTGGCTGCCCTGTCCCGATCCTTCCCGGTCGGGATAATGACTGGGCCAAGCCTGCCCACTCCCCAGCTGGAGCGTGCTGATCTAGGCAAGCTTTCCACAGAGAGCTAGGTCTGCAGCTGAGCTCCGTACCGAGCGAGATTTACAGCAAACTTTGCTGTGGAAGGCGTTTTAGCATGGATGGGGTTTAGTGTGGGGTTCTGCTGACATGCGGTTTGGTCAGAAGCCTGATGGCTCTCAGTGTTTTGGTGGCAGAAAGGCGCCCAGAAGGGCTGGGAGAGGCTGCAGAGCCTGCACACCCTGCTGCCACGGGCGGTACATGGCCATCCAAGCTGCAGCAAGACAACAGACGTTACCACGGCTCTGCTGGACACCGTCTGCCAAAGGCATCGCAAGAGCTGGGCAGGGCAGATGGCATTTCTCAGGGGTGCCACGGCAGGGAACACGGCTGATGCCGCTAGCTGGGTACGGGGGCAATGCTGCAGGAACTGGTGTTCTGGCACATGTACATGCGCACGTACAGCCTGGCAGCAAGAAAGCAGCTGTACCTTCGTATCTATTTTAAACTATCTCGGACTGAGAGGGGATGTTTACTAACTGAGTTAATTGGTAGGCTGGACAGCCTGTACAGCTTTGAAGCCGGCAGGGCGAGCCCGCAGCCAGCTTCGTGCTAATGAGCACGGCTCCGAGGCCGGGACGTGGCTGCCGGCAGAGCCCCGCTGGCGGCAGCGAAGCAGCTTGACCCCGCATTGACGCGGCCGCTTCCCGCGCCCCGAGCAGACCCGGTGGTCGGTGCCGGGAGGCTGAGCCAGCGCTGGCCATGGGCCCTTACCCCGCGGTGCAGCCAGCAGCCGAACGGCAGCTCTGTCCCCTCAGCCTGGGGGCTCAGCCCAGCCCCAGCAGAGCTGGCTGGTCCCAAAGCCGTGCTTGTTTCTGCAAGCAGCGAGGTGACACGAGCGTGTCCCTGTTCCTGGCACAAGGTGCACCCTGGATAAACAGTGCAAAAAGCAGCTCGGCCCCCGCTCCATGCTGGCCGTGGTCCAACTGCACCTGAGGATGAAAAGCGTCGAGGACGAGGGGAGCCTGGCGCTGCCTTTCCCCGTGGTTTGACCATGCCTTGCAGGTGATGGTGGGAGCAATGCCCCAGGAGAGACGTCCTTCCTCCAACTGCAGCCCCCGCCATGGTCTCTGCGCCTGGGAGCCGATCCCCCATCCCACCTCACCGGCCAGCGAGACGTCCGAATTCACTGGCTGAACACACCTTCAGCTTTAATAAAATACCTCGTATTTACAGACACACCCAAATGTATACGTGGGTATGGATACGCATTATATGGGTGTACACATGTGTACCCCATGCTGCTTCACACAGCAGAGACTACTGACCACCTCGGGGCTGGGGGGGCACCCGCAAGCCGGTGCTTTGTCTCCAAATCACAGTGTCTGCCTGTTCCTGTAACAGCTTTGCCAGCAGACCCTGAGCACCCATGGGTGAGCACCCTGCTCCCAGTGGTGCCGTCCCCAGCCCTGCAGTGTGGAGCTGGCACATGCCCATGAGCTGCAGGGGGGCGCAGGGTCTTCCCTCGGCTGCTGTCGGGTCCTGGGCTGCTGGCCCCCACCCGTGGGTGCGAGAAGGGCAGCAGCAAAGCCCTGGGAGCGCTGGGACTCGCTGTGCCATCAGCTGACCAGAGACCACCTGAGCCTATGGCACGACTGGCACTGTGGGTCCGTGCCACAGGAGCCATCCGGCAGCGCCGCCAGCCCAGCCTTTGAAGTCTGCTCCCGGTGTGGAGTCAGTCCGTGCGGATTTAGTGGGGAGCAAACAGTGGCAGGGGTGCACCCATGGTCTGGTGACTGCCCCCGAGCCCAGAGCCGGGGCGGCTGCCTGCCTGGGCGCACCATTACCTGCAGGGACACCCCTAGACAGCCTTCTTGTCCTGGGTGGCCAGGAGCTGGGAAACACAGTAGGGGATGAGGCCAGCAGTGGCCAGTGGCACGGCCGCGCTCTTGCAGAAGGAGAGGACGTAGAAGAGCAACTGCATGTGGGAGGGTGGCTTGAAGGCATCAAAGAGGTGTAGGATGAGGAGGGAGGCGGCGACGCAGCCCAGGCGGAAGGGCAGCTGCTGGCCCTGCTTCCCCCGGCAGCTCTCCAGGTACATGTGGGAGTTGTGGGCTAGCCCCAGCCCGAAGAGGATGCCCAGGTTACGGAGGAGGCTGGCAAAGGGGGTGGTGTCGATGTGGACCCACTCGGGGTGGGCGCACCATCTCTGCGCCTTCTCCAGCGTCCAGAGCAGGTCCACACCGAGTGCCCGCAGCAGCAGGTAGAAGCCCAGGGCGAAGCTGAAGAGGAAGAAGGTGATGCCCAGGTACTGGCGGAGGCTGGCGTGGTAGATGAAGTGGATGTGCTGGAAGGTCTTGGCTACGGCCATCCCTGCCGGGAACAAAGTGGGAGAGGAGGTGGCACTGATCAGCAAGCAATCGCCTGCCTTGGGGCGGTGGAGCCGAGCAGACCCCACAGCCCTGGGCACGCCAGCAGGGGACATGTGCCGGGGGCTACCCATGTGCTCCTACACGGTGCTGACCTTCCCCATGGCCACCACCACTCCCCATTGCTCACAGAGGCCCAATTCTGCTCCCTCACCCAGCGATGACCCTTTTGACACCCCAAGCCTGCCCTGCCTCTGCCTTTGGGCCTTGTTCACTGCCCGCCCGACTGGGACTCGTGCCTTGAATGGGATAGGGACAAAGGCACGTCCTGGGGGCCAATCCTGCCCGTGACGATGAGGGCAGTAACTGCAGAGCCATGGGCACAGCTTTGCATCAAGACCCTGCACGCATCCGTCAGGCCATGCACCCTTCCTGGCCGGTGCTGTGCTCCAGCACGGCGCTGCCATGGGGAAGGGGACAGGGGGTCCGATGCACTCACCTGAGATGACCCCCGCGATGACCTGATGGGGGAAGTGGGCGGCAATGAAGACCCGGGACAGGCAGACACAGACCTGAATTGCCCAGAACCCTGCCCAAAGCACCGTCCACAGCACCCTGCAAGGGGCAGGCGGCCATGTCAGTGCCAGGCTCGGCTCGTGCTGCCCAGGGTGCCACCGTCGTGTACCCCGAGCGGTGCCTGGCCGCTCGCCGAGCCCATCCTCATGCACACCCCCCTGGGGTGCCATGGCCCAGCTGCCTGCCCACAGCCCCGTGCCTCGATGGGCTCGGCTGCACGCCCGTCGGCTCTGGAGCAGCCTCTGCCCAGCATGGCTGGTTTTGGCACACAGCTTACCAGTATTTGAGTGTCTTCGACTGCTTCTTCCCCATGGCAGCGGAGAGGAGGGCTGTCACCATGACGTAGTACACGCCTGCTGCGCCCATGGCGTGGCCGGAGGGGCTCCCTGGGCGAGAAGAGACCCCCCAGGTCAGAGCCCCCCTTCAAAGCAGGCTGCACCCTCGTCCCTGGGGGGCTCCCAGGCAGCAGCCCAGACCCCGGGGGCTGTGGTACCAAATGGCTTGGCACCCAGTGCCTGTCCCCTGTCGGTCACGGCGCCACCTCTATGGCAGGCGCCCAGCTCCATCCCCAGGCGCAAGCAAGGCTGGAGCAGGGGACAGCATGGCAGGAGCAGTGTGGGAGCACGGCTCTGGCTTTGTGGCCTCTCTGCCAAGCAAGACCGGGCAGAGGGCACTGACCATCGCGACAGCTCGTGCTTAGCGTGCTGGGAATGCCTGCAGCCCTTCCCCAGCTCCCATGGAAAGTCACGGGCAAAGTACAGACAGAGCTGCTCTGGAACTGGGCAAGCCCCTTCCCCACAGAGCGGCTGGCCTCCCCCCGCTGCAGGCATGGCCGGCGTCCCTGGGGCCAACGCCGCAGCACCATGATACCAGCCCTCTCTCAAGAGCTAGGGGTGCGTGCTGCTGGTGGGCTACCAGCCGAGGCCCCGGCCATGCCAGCACCACCCTCCCGGCAGGGACTAAGACCCCGAGTGGGGAGCTGCATGTGCAGGTCCCCCGGGCAAGCGCCCACTGCCCCTGCCGGGGCCAGGGACCCACCGGGGCCGGTCTCGCAGGTGAGCGGGAACTGCTGGATCTGTGGGGCGGAGGTGTTGCCATAATAGTCCGTCTCATGGACCCACCAGTACGGTCTCTCCCCAAAGAGGATCCTGAAAAGAAAGGAGAACGGGGGCTGTAGGGGTCCTGGTGGGCACGGCTGCGGTTTCAGCTCTGGCCTGGGAGCTGGAAGAGGCAAAGGACCCACGAGCAGTCCAGGGTGTCCCAACAGACACAGCATCCAGCTGGTCACTTGGTCCCAACAGCCAACACTGCCTGTCCATGTCCCCATTCCCAGCCCCCAGAAGGGGAAAAGCAAGAATTTCCTGGGAGCAAGCCAACGCACGGAAAAAGAAGAGAGGTGTCTGCTCCCTCGAAAACTTTTTCAGGCTGAGAGCAACTGTCTCATGGTGGCATCAGAGGCAGAGGCCACCCGTCCCTGGCACATGTGCAGGCAGCGTGGGCATCCCGGGAGATTTGAGCTGCGGGGCAGGCGCAGAGCCTGTGGATCCTGCTGCAGGGACGTGGGGTGCAGCCCTTGCACGTGGGCGCATGCAGCCCCAAAACTTTGGGATGCTGAAACGCAGCTGCGGGGATGGCACTGTGCTGCCCACCACCCCTGTGGCCGCTGGTACCACAGCCCACCGCTTGTAGGGACAGCACCCACAGCTACCAGCTGACACCAAACCCTGCGGGGCCGTGATGCCAGGGCGGATCAGCCCCATGGGACAACTGACGGTGCCAACGAGGCCATCCCGTGCCTGGAACAGTGGCTGGGTCCCTCGCGTACTCCCCACCACGGGTCCCTTGCGTGATCCCCACCACGGGTCCCTTTGCATCAGCGATGCCAGCGTTACCAGCCGTGGAGAGGCAGGGAATATCAGTGGCCTGGCTTACCCGTGGGACACGCTCACCTAAAAGATTAGAGGAGCACCAAGCCCCGATCCTGCGTATCAGAGCCGTGCCAGGTCGCCCCCGCGGCCCCTCCATGGAGAGGGGCTCTGTGCAGCCCTCGCGCAGAACTGCAACCCCGGCTGACAGCAAGGGGCTCTGCTTGCAGGGGGCTCTGTCCCTCTGCCTGGCTTCTGGGAAGCGGGGAGAGCCGTTGCTGCGCGGCTCAGGAAGGAACCACCATTACCACCGCCAAGCCGGGGGCCAAACTCTGGTCTTTGTTTTAGCCTGCGTCGAGGCTGAGAGCACACATCTGGCCCACGTTAGTCCAGTTGTGCCAAGACGCCCGGAGGGAGCCGTGGCACAGGGCCACTCACCACTTGAAGACGAGGTTGAGCCAGTCGCCGATCACGGCCACCCAGATCAGCCTGATGCCCACCGACTCGCTGAAGTGGAACCAGATAGGGAAGAGGACAAAGAAAGCGTTCCTGAGGTCGGCGGCGAAGGAGATGAAAAGGAACCAGTCCTGGGAGCCCTGGAAGTGCTCCTGCAGCCAGTGTGTCGCCTGGATGCCCGTGTCATGCAGGAGGTTCATGTTGGCCTCCATCCTCCTCTGCAGCCGCTGCCCCTCGGCACGGCTCCGGCTCTCCCACGCTCGCCGGCGCTGCTGGGGTTTTATAGTCTGTGGGCTCTTGTTTGCTGCGGGCAGGTCGCTTGTCCCAGCACTGATCTTTGGACCCCAAACCACTTTTGCCAAAGGTGCATCACCGGGGGGTTGTCACAAACATGTTTGGAACAACTTACGTAAAAGGGAAAAACAGGCTTCGAGGGCGCGTGGAAGCCGCGTGGAGCGTGGGGTGCTCCAGCACCAGCACCTTAACCCTTCCCCGCACTGTCCCCTGCTGGTTCAGCTGCTCCTACTGAACCCCAGCGTCTGCTCTGCTTTCGGGGAGGAGACCCAAGCACCTGAAGAGCTGCCACAGCCCCAAGCTGTGACATTTCTCCCATCCCTCGGCCATCACCCCAAGCACCACTGGAGCATCACGGGGATGCCCAGGAGCATGGAATGGGTTGTGCGTGGCATGGGGGGCAAGCTGCCCACCACCCCCACGTCAGCTGAAACCTGATGAAAAAAAAACTGATAAAAAAAACCACCTTGCTGCCGTGGCATTCACCAGGCTGATTAAACCAGGACTCTGCATAATGGGAAACTTTCCAGGTTGTTTCTGCAGCTCCCTGCAGCCTCAGACAGCGAGGCTTGGGGAGCTTCTGGCTGCCAGCAATGTTTTTCCGATCTCTGGTGTGAGGTTGAAGGACCTTTGCAAATGAGGTCCCCTGGGAGGGAAGGCATTCCTCCCAGCACAGCTCCCCTCCGTTAACCCCCTCCTGCACAAAACTGCCCTGTCAGCCCCTGGCTGCAGGGACAGAGCCGGACACACCACTCATCCCACTGGTTCCAGGTCCCTGCCAGTGGCCTTTCCCCACCCCAGCCCACACCGTGGCTGGCAGCAGCGCCGGCACCGCAGCGTTATCGTCCTGTTCCTCCCTGGGAGGTAACAGTAAATGAGTAACATGGAGAGCTATTTCCAGGAGCCTGAGGACATAGCCTGGCAGAAACCTCCTTCCCCAGCTCTGACCAGCCACCACGGTTGCTGGCGCACGGACGCGCAGCCCTGCGTCAGCCTGCAGCAAACGGGGCAGCTGCCCGGCCATGGGGGAAGAGGCGACCCAGGCGTTAATGATTAGCAGCCAGTGAAAAGGCATCACTTATCTCCCTCCTCGAGAAAGTTCAGGTCAAGACCCTTGAACTGTTTGTCATGGTGCGGAGCAGGCAGAGGTCTTGTCCAGCGCCGAGACCTGCCCACCAACAGTGGGAGCTGCGGGCAGCATCCTGCCCCCTTGCCTGCACGTAGCCCAGAGAGCCACAAACTCTAAAAGACAAAAACATGGCAACCCTTCCTCTCTGGAACACAGGCACCGACCGCTCTTGAAGCTGCCAGGCTGAGGAAGAGGGTTCCAAAGAGGTATTTGGAAACGCCTGTGCTCTGAAGGCCGTTGGATGAGTAGGGATCTGCCTGGCGTTTACCAGTGCAAGGCTGGGGCTGCCGGGGCAGATCTGCAGTTGCAGCCCAGCAACGGGGGCAGCCTGTCCTCGGCCCCGAGGAGCTGCCCATCAGGCGGCAGCAGCCAGCATCCCTCCCGGTATCCTCGCTGCGCGCCGGGGCTGATGCTCCTGGGCAAAGGGAAACGTGGGCGCAGCCAAAGCCTGACCCTGCGCTCAGCATCCTTGGCCCAGGCTGGCTTGATCCAGCTCTGTTCCCAAGGCTGGAGCGCAGCCGGAGCAGCCTCACCGTGCTGGGGAGCGGGGCCGGGGGCCCCCCGGGGGTGTGCATGGGGGGAGGCAGCACCGGGGGCTCACACCAGTCGGGCCAAGCGGCAATTTCCAAGCTGCCGTCGGTGAACAGGAAAGCACATGAAGGAGAGGAAGCCGTGCAAACCCAGCAGGATCCGCCCCGGCCGCAGGCGCATCCCTGCCAAGAGCTGCTCCTCCCTGCATCCGGGGGAGAGGGACCCAGGCGTCCCAGCCCCCGGACTGAGCTCCCAACCTACAACAACAACCCCAAAAACAACAAAACAGACGTTTGCACCAAAGTGGAATTACTCTTGCAAAGCAAATTCCCCAACAGCTCATTTCAGGGTCCTGAGTGGCTTTGGCCAGCGTGGAGGAATGTGACAGATTTGACTTCTGCGTCAAAAATATTTTGAAAGTCAGCAATAACTTCTCCCCGAGAGATTTCACAGCAGAAAATGGGGGCAAAAGGCATTGGGGGATGGGGAGCAGCGTGCTCCAGGCCCTTTGGAAAAAGTCACTGCAGGAAAATTGGGGCCGCAGTGGGGAGAGGCCAGGAAACAGGATGGGAACAGCCACCTCCTCCCTGCCAGCGCGGCACAGGGGCGAGCACGAAGCTCGCTGGGCTGCCCGTAGAGCTCTGCTGCTGGCGGAGCGGGGCGGGCCAGCATCCCCCTGCACAGTGGCCAGGCGGCATGTGCCACAGGGCCGGTCTGTGCCAGCGCTGCCGGGGTCCACACAGCGGAGGTTTCCCAGCACCAGCTCCATGCCCCACACTTTAGGTAAATCCCCATCCCTGCAGCCACCGCGCAGAGCTGGGGCAGCGGGGGCTGCTGACCTCCGGGTCACCGCAGGGTTTTGCATCCTGGCAGGTTTGGCCACTGGCTCTGGGAGCAGCGTGCCAGGCTCTGGCTCATCCCCTGCAACAGGCAGCACCGCTGGGCAGGGGCGTGCATTGCAAACTGGCCGGGGTGTCTTTCCCAGGGGAGGAACGGGGCCAGGCACTTTATTTCTGCACTGAGGTCTGTGCACAACGAGCCTGGGATGGGCTGGCAGCCCGGGAGCTGTGTGTGCCTGCAGTGGCACCGGCCAGCTCCGGGACACAGCGTCCCCGCGATTCCCAAGGCACCGGACGCAGGCTCAGGAGTCGCAGCGCACACGGGTGCTGTAACATAACGTGCTGCTCGTGGTGCCAGTGTTCCATCCAGAAAGTTCCCAGCCCGCTGCAAGGTCTGTGCCTGGGCAGCGAGCCGGGCTGCTGCCAGCACGGGACCGTGCCTGGTCTCACCTGCGTCAGCACGCGGGCAGAGTCCGGGCAGCGCTTGCAAGCACGTGGGCACACAACGGGTGGCAGGGAGCTGGCTGGCTGCCACCTTCCCCTGGCAGGGAGCACCCCGCCCGCTCCCCCCGAGCCCCAGGAGGGGCCTGCGGG